GGGACTGAACTTGTGGGGATGAGGAGACCCGTCGGAGGTCTGCATCATCTAGCACAGTCTCACTGACTGTGAGCCATGAACTTCCTACTTGTTTCCTTGTTACTTAGTTTAGAGTTGGCCCCAGGATGGTTTAAGGAAAATATACATAAAGTTGGGTTTAAATCTTGGCTCTGCCAATTTCTGTGACCATGTGATCAAAAGTTGTAACACTTCTGAGCATCAGTTTATGAGTCTGTAAAATGAAGATAAACACTATTTACTTTTATAGCATTTTGTGAGGAATAGAGGAGACGATGTAGGTAGCGTCTAGCATAATACCTGCCACATAGCAGGTATTGGTAAAATGTTTCCTACCTTGTTTTCCTCCTTGCCTTCCTCCCTCCTACCCTCCCTTCCTTCTTTTCTTTCCTCCTTACTTTTTCTCCTTTCTTAGATGTGATCCTCAGTTTGCTCAAGGCTTCTAGTTGGTTCTAAGGGAGAGCTTCTGGGGTATTTGTCACTTTCAGGACCTGAGATAAGGTTTTCTGGCTCCTGAAGCCTCAACATTGACCTACAGCTTCCCCTTCAGCCTTCAGGTTCCCTCTCTAATCATAGGACACTCCTCAATAGACCTCAAGTCATTATCCCCATGTCCTTAGGTCTCATCTTTCTCTAAAACTTAATGATCAATTTTCCTCACTTTTGAGAATATCTTATCTCTTGGGCAAAACTGTGAGCAAGCAGAGAAATTTGGCCTATTTGATCGATGCTCAGTAATGCCTGATAGATTGGACCTATCATGGCCAACCTCCAGGAGCTCAGGGAGTATGAGATACAGATTCTGGGTATCAGGTGTTTTGGGAGTCATTTTAGTCAAATACCAACCAGCCTGGCTTCTGGAAAGACAGCTAGGTATTGGCTTAAGAGCTTGGGATCTAGAGTCATACTGGTTTTCTGGGTCCTCCAGCAAATCTCTTAATATCTATAAACCCAAATTTCTCCATCCTGGGCAAATAGTAAGAAGCCTTTGGAGGGAAGAAGTAATGGCTTCCAAGGCACTTAATATGGAGTCAGTAACACTGTGGGAAGAACAAACATGGGCTAGTTCTGAGATGATCCAAAAAACACCTTTTATGGACTGAATTGCCCCCCACAACCTCTAATTCATATTTTGAAGTCCTAACCCCCATAAATCAGAATGTGACTGTATTTAGCTATAGAGTCTTTAAAGAGGTAATTAAGGTAAAATGAGGTCATGAGAGTGAGCTCTTCTAAGAAAAGAAGGTTAGGACATAGAGACACAGAGGGAAGATCATGTGAAGGCATGAGGAAAAGACAGCTGTCTGCAAGCCAAGGAGAGAGGCCTTAGAAGAAACTGACCCTGCCACTACCTTGATCTTGGACTTGTAGCCTCCTGAATTGTGAGAAAATGAATTTCTGTTGTTGAAGCCCCTACTCTGTGGTGCTTTGTTACGGCAGCCCGAGCACAGTTTTGCACAGCCCTGTGCTAAGATGGTTTCTTGCTCATTCCTGTGATCCTGAGGAGGGCCTTAAACTCAGCTTGTGTTCCGTTAATAACAGTCTGACTGAATTTAACAAACAAAATGTTCTGTTAGGCCTATCTTTATGGTTTTTTTACTGCTTAGTAAACACCACTGCTAAGTGGTAGGCTGGCTGTGTTTCAGACAAGGTTCCTGATTCTCTATGCAGAAGCCTCTTATCAGTATCTGAAAAACTGGTATCTTAATCCACTTGTGGTCTGCCTTGATTTTCCCCTTTATTTCCTGAAGAACTGGGAGACCTGGGCTTTGACTGTTTTTCAATGATTTGTCCACCTGCCTTGTGTGAATTTTCTGGTTTGCCAGAAACTGGAACTTCCTTGCTTCATCTGCCTTCTTGGATATTGACCTATTGCCTGGCTGACCTAGGTTTGTCATGTGGGCCCCGATAATCTCCGAGCTTGCGTGGCTTCAGGGCTTCTCAGATTGAGGAATGTAGCAAGTGTGCACATCCCAATGCTAACCTTGGGTGGCAGGTACAGTTTATGTAGGTTTGTTCATGCTACCAATGGACACATGATGATGATCAGGCCCAGTTAAGGTCAGGGCCTGAAAAGGGGCTCACTGGGCATTTGGTTTATTTCTCTGCAGCACCGAGACCTTCCCATTCTGACATAGAGCCTTTCACATTGCCTTCCTGGCTCTGACCCTTGACTTTTCTGTTACTTCTAGAACTTACCAGATTATTATAATAGATTGTTTTGCATCCAGAAAACATATGGTTTCTTGCTATGTGTCCATGACCCATAACATGTTCCTACATGGCTGCATTTTGATCTGCTACAAAGGAATCGCGGACCTATTGAAGCCTATATATCAGAGTGTGATAAAGAGGGGCCACATGATCTAACAAGCTCTGGCAGGGAATTAAAACAGGATTGCTTTGCTATTCCTTGGGCACTGTGAGCTTCTCAAACCTGCCTCTACTGTGGAGTAAGATTGCCAGGATACATAATAAAGCTTTATAAGTGGCAGAGGAATTTTTGTCACAAGATCTAAGAATTCCTAGGTGGCCTTGTTTTATGATAATTAGGCCATGTGTCTTTGTGTAAGAAGCAGCATGCTCAGTGTTGTGTATGAGTGGCTCATCAAGGTGAAGCAAGGAATTTGGACTTGGGCACTTGAAATTAAGTCAGGAGGTGTGAAAGTAGACAAGAGCCAGGAAAATATCTAGGAGTCAGTAGGCAAGTCAGAATGGGGAACCACTTGGGTGGTCAGTCCAACATAGGAACATGTGTAGCAAAATGCAGTGTGCGACCTGGACACATTTTATTGACTTTCTGGGAAGTCATTGATCATCTCAGTTATCCTTTTTTTAAAAAAAAATAGTAGTTTGGGCCAGCTTATTTCTAAATTCTGCTCTATTTCTAGAATGCTAATTTGTTTCATTAAGTACCAGTGTGGGAGTGTTAGAAATCCAGCTAACAGGTACAAGATACCAACAACATATATTTGATATCTGAGACCAACTTCTTTTATAGAAGAAAAATTCTTTTTTGTAAGGTTTTTGCTGAGACTGGAGCAGGCCAAATCCCAGATGTAAGGGCTGGTCCTGGAGAACACTTTAGGAGCAGAAGGTGACTGTGGGTACTCATTTCATAGCACTTTAGTAACTTGGGAGCTCTTGGCCCCACAGCAGTGGGCCAGCAGTGCTTTTGAGCCTTTGGCACAGAGTTTAACTTTGTCAAACTATCAATCAAGGCTGTAGTGGAATATAAAAATAGATGATAGTTACACGTGGAGCTTTCTGCCCACAGAATAACACAGTTGGTGACTGACTGTGGGAAACAAACAAACAAAACCCCTCTGAGCCAGTAAGATGAAGTGTGGTCACACAACAAACAGTAAACCATCAGCAGATGGCAGACTAGTCAGAACCTGCCAGATCACTCAGGCCTTGTGTTTGCTGGAGGGATTCTTCCCAAATCTCCTCCTTGGTCCTTTCAGGACCTCCAAAATCTAAGGCAGAATGTAGGGCAAGCCAGAAGTAGTGTTACCCTCACACTCTGGATGGTCTTCCCAGCACTTTTCAATCTCAGCTATGTGTTGAAATCGGTCTATATTGTCTCTCTCTGGATGAGCTATATAGTTTGCTTGGCCCAGTGCAAAGTGGAGATGCAGGGTGAAGAATTTCAAGATGGCATCAGCACGGCATTAACCTAAGAGCTGGTCCCTTATGAGCATGGGGCTCTGTGCGACCATAGAGTTCATTGCATGTCCATGGAGCTGGCCCTTGTCCTTTCTCCCCATCTTCTGTTCCTCTTCCTTCCTGCAAATAAAGCCTGTTCACTTGGGGTGCTGTTTTCCATTGCTGGACTGTTCGACAAATCTACCCAAGCAACTTGCATGCACCATTCTTTCTCTTGTGCTGTCTTGTTATTAACCATAGACAATTTTATTGAAGTGAGGATAAGGCATCAGAACAAATTTGACAATGTTCTCTGGCTCATATTTTCCATTGAAAGGTATCCTCAGAGTGCCAAGATCCTCCTAGATATTCTGACTCTAAACCAGGAATTTTTAATGAGAGGTGAAAACCAGGATTAATTGGGATGCTTCTTCAGAATATACTTCTCAGGGTTTCTAAATCTGTCAACTCAGTTTTCTGTGTATTTGAAAAGGCTTCTCAGCACAATATTGGTAAAGAACCAGTTGAAAGCTATACCATTTATTTCTTATCGTATATATCATATATGTTCTCATTTTATTTTTGAGACATATGCATATGTATTCCCCCACCCCACTTATCTTTGATGTTAGAATCTGTGTAAACTGACACTTGTGTCAGAGTGTTTTTAACTTAAAGTTGCCTTGCAAATTCTGTGTAGTGATGGTTATCCACTTTAACTCAGAGTGAGTTTATTTGTGACTGGATCTAGTGGAAACCACAAACTAATTATTAACCAACCAAGAAAAACAAGGGAATGAGGAAATGCCACAAGTATTGACAATATGTATTGTAGCATATGGCTAATGTATAAAGAGGTAATAGAATGATGTACCTCAGGGGATCATTCAAAAGGAAAATTACTTGAATTAACTTTTCAGGAAAACCAAATTATGCATTATACCCCCTCTTGTAATGCAATACAAAGTCAATGTTTGTGAAGAGAGAACTGGGGGCTATAAATCAAGCCTTTCATAAGAACTGTTGTGTCTGCAGGGATTTTTTTTTTCCTTTGCATTTTTTGCTCTTAGATGAATGAAGAATTTTCTCAGCAAATTATTAGTTACTCCTCTTTGCCTATAGAATTGAGTTCACTGTAGTTATGTAGGAGTCAATGGTATTCAAACTGCAGCTTTTGATGAAGTAATCGGCCGCTTCTGGGGCCTCTTTCAGCTGCCGTGGGCGTGCTTCACATGTAAACGGCTGCCAAATGGATTCTTTCGACATTCCAGCCAATTAAAATACATTTAAAGTGCAGCTGGTGGAGAGGCAAGCCGGGCGATTGTGTGGAGAACTTCAGGGCAGGGAGACAAAAACAAACTTTGGGGAACCCAGCTCAGGCAGCCCTGCCAGGCGTCTGGGGGCAGTGGAGAAAGTCACAAAAAGAGGCTATCTTTAGCCCCTGTCAGAGTCAAAGATGACACTTTGAGCACCACCTTAAAACACACAAAAGAGAGTAACATGTTTGTTAGGGTGTCAGTTTTCTCCCCTCGCCTCTTGAGACTGTGTGTTGGCCGATTGCCCAATGTGGTGCTGCATACAAATATTGACAGAACACAGCGGTGTTTGTTAAACCCGGGCTGGGGAAGCCGGTGATTAAATCTCTTGAAGGAAGATCCGAAAACCCCGGGAACTTTCATCAGTAGCGTTAGAACACTGGCGAATGAAAGAGAAAGTACTGAGCGGGCTAAGTGACACGCTCACCGTCCCTGTCTGCCATGCCTTTTCGGTAAGGACAGATTTTTCTTTTCTCTTCTTTTTTCCTCTTGAATGTTTATGTCGATGTGGAGGAAAGAGCGTCCTATGAGCCAAGTGCTCTGCTGCCGAGCTCTAATGTGCAGAGTGCAGTGTGCCTGTGATCTTTCTGGAGGATGTGAGGGGTTTGCTCTGTGGACATAGACCCAAGGCATTACCCAGCACGTGGGGTCTGCCAGTGCTTCTCCAGAATTCAGAGTGACACGTTTTTAAATGTTTTCCTCCACCGACCTGTCCCAGTATTTGCTGCCTGTGCCAGGTGTCCCCAGATTGACAGTAAGTAGATCCCACTTGTGAACCAAATTGTTATGATGTACGTGCTTGTTTAATTTTTATTTTTATTTAAGTCTTGTCATTCTGTGGTCAGCCCCACATGATGCTTGGGAAAAGTGTCTTCTTACTCCTGGGTTAATATTCAGTCAGACACAAGCATTCTGTTTCATGAAAGCAAATCAAAAATGTTTGGAATGCTTTGCTTTATCTTTACTTTCTTTGGAGAAGCTGATAAACTGAGAATTTATTCTGAATCACTCTTTTCTATACTAGATGAAGGCAGCTGTGCTCACAGTATCTTTGTGGTCCTGCAAGCTCAATAAATACCCAGCTTTGTGGGTCATCCTTCGGTGCCCACCTTAAATCCCTGAGAATACTAAGTAAGCCTGTGACTGAGCAGGGGCATTGTTTCCTACCCATCAGTTTACCAGCAAAAGACATGCAAAGTTCCTGATTGTTTCCTATCTTAACTTGTCACGGTAGGCCCTGTTTGGCTTCAGTTTCGTTCATTGCAAACAAAGAATCTTGCACATTTCATGGTAAAGGATCATGTTGCAGTGTCCTGGGCTCAGTTAAATGCACTTTATTAATCTTTAATGTGCCAGTAGCTCTGAGGCTATGCCAAACTGAGACTTTCCAAAACTCTCCAAGCTACCTGCTGCCAAGATCAACGGTGGTAGGCCCAGAAGGGATATTTTAAGGAAACTTTCAACAGCAGAGTTTTACCCATTGAATTTGTTGTGAGTTAATGAAAAAAATCTTAAGATTTCAGAAAGAACTGCCTCAGCTCTATACCCTCTGAGAGAGGTCTACTGGTGGGGGTTCATCTCAGCACACACCACGGGCTAGGCTCTACCTTGGGGAGAGAATAAGGCTCTCTACTGTGTGGGTGTTGGGTTGTGTTTATGAAATGCATATTGTGTGAAGGAAGACATGTGGATATAGAAAATATTCCTGCCTGTGGTGGCATCTGATCCCAGAAAAAAACAAGGCTATGTGTGTGTGGGGCCTCTAGTCCAACATAACCATTTCAGGCATGCCCAAAGAGCCAGAGGCAGGTAATAGTCTCGTCCAATATAATCATTTCAGGCATACCAAAGGAGCCAGAAATGGGCAGCGGTCACAGAAATCCATTTGGACAGAGATATAACTTCATATGGAAGAAAAATGGGGTACTAAACCTCAGAAAATTGGTCACTGAAGTGATTTAATGTCCCAGAGGACAATGTGAACCTGTTTGACTGACCAGGTCTTGTAGAATGTAAGGGTATGACCTCTTACGGCTGTGGGGCTGCTCATCAGCCTAATGTAGGGTAAACAGTGTCATTGTAATTCCTTGGGGATGCAGGTAATAGCAAAAGAGACCCTTCCTTTAAACACAAGCCTGTGAATATAGAGACTTCATCGGTCAGGGTTGCTTATGAGAACACTGAATTGGAACTGGGAGAAGCTCCACGGTTTTTCTGATTTAGGGTCAGTGAGCCAAGGCCTTTACAAATACCTGCAGGATGAGAAAGGATCAAGTGAGAGATGGCCTCAATTAAGCAGGTGGATTTATTGCCTTTAGAGTCAGGTCCAGTCTCCTTCCTGTGGTCTAGACCAGGGTTGATGAATTACACATCACAGGCCAAAATCTGCCCAACTTGTGTTTTCATAAATAAAGTTTTATTGAAACACAGCCATACCCCCTTGTTTATTATCTGTGGCTGCTTTTGTGCCTACCACAGCAGGGCTGAGAAGCGGCAGCAGAGTTCCGACAGCCCCATAAAGCCTGAAACATTTACAGTCTGACCCTTTACAGGAAAGACTGAGAAGTTAGACCTGGAGAACACTGCTTTAACCATTTGTGGAGAAGGACTGTTTTTTTTTAAATTTCCAATCTGTTATGGACTGATTTATTAAATATGATAAAATTGTTGCTTGAATGTTGTGATGTCAGATTGCTACAAAAATTCTAAACGTTTACACTTACATTGTACTCATCATGAATCCTTTGCAAATAGTTTGCAGACTAGTCCCAGACTGGATCACACTTTGAGCAGTGGTAGCTCTTGCTTAATTTTCTAGTCTCACCTTGTGCCATGCTGTTCTTCTTTCTGAGGACTGAATACACCAAACTCTTGCCAAATTTGGACCTGTGCTAGTGATGTTTGCTTCACCTGGCACTCTCTTTTCCTAAGTCTTCCCTTAGTACTTCCTTTCCTTTAGGTCTCTGCTTCAGTTCAGTTCACTAAGGACATCTTTTGACCACTCTGTCTGAAAAAACTAACCTAGTCTTATATCAAACTTTCTTTGTAGCACTTATTATAAACAATATTTGTATTGTTTATCTTCCTATTATTTATTTTCCTGTATTGGTCTGGATTAAGTAACAGATAACATAATTCATTTCAACTGGCTGAAGCAGAAAGGTTTTATACTGGTTTTAGGTGGCATATAAAATCTTGTAGAAGTGTGGGAACAGGCAGAGATTTGACATAATGCTTAGGACAACACAACAGAATTTACCGTTATGTCTCTGTCACTAAACAGAGCTACGAATCTGGAAGCTGGTGCCACCACTGCTATCTCCATGATCACATGACCTCTGCTTTCATCTCCACCGAAATGAGTATCTCTTTTTCTTGAAACACATGAAGCTGTGCTAGTGATAGAATACTTGAACCTTTGCTAGAGAGATTACAGAATACCCAAAACCTCTAGCAGTAAGAGTAGAAACAGAATCTACCTCATAATCTTCACTCTGACTTTCAAATACTACTAAGGGCAGGGAGGAGGTGTCTCCTGGGTGAAATCTGGTTTACAGCAGAACTCAAGCCATGAGAATCAGAAAAATGCTGTCTTAGAGGTTTTTTAAGTCTCTTCTGCTGGAATGGAGTCACCTGAATCTGCCTCCATCCTCTATTGAAAGGCCATCTCCATGAGGGTTGGGATCTTGTCTACTTGTTCATTACCCTACACTGATGTTAACATTAGTACCTGGTATGTGTAACCTGCCCAGTACATATTGACCATATGAACGCGTGCATTAGTGAATGAATGACATCCCTTGGAAGTCTGTGATTTATAGGAGAGTAGCATGTGGCATACATGAGGGAGATTACTTAGTATGCTGTTACAAACACAATCTAAAGGTTCTTTTCTATTTTTCCTCCTTTTTCTTCCTCCTTCATTCTTTATATATTAGGTATTAAATTCTGTACTTTTTGTCTATCCCTTGATTGACTTTGAGGATAGTTAATTTAATTTTGCATTTGCTTTGTAATTAGCTGTTCTACTCTCTTTACTGTGGTTTTATTACCTCTGGTGACAGCTATTCAACCTTAGGAACACTTCCATCTATAGCAGTCCCTCCAAAATAGACTGCAGAGATGGTTTATGGGAGGTAAATTCTCTCAGCTTTTGCTTATCTGGAAATTGTTTAATCCCTCCTTCAAATTTAAATGATAATCTTGCCGGAAAAAGTAATCTTGGTTCCAGGCCCTTCTGCTTCATGGCATTAAATACATCATGCCACTCCCTTCTGGCCTGTAAGGTTTCTGCTGAGAAGTCTGATGTTAGCCTGATGGGCTTTCCTTTGTATGTGATCTTATTTCTGTCTCTGGTTGCTTTTAACAGTCTGTCCTTATCCTTGATCTTTCCCGTTTTAATTACTATGTGTCTTGGTGTTGTCTTCCTTGGGTCCTTTGTGTTGGGAGATCTGTGGATCTCCATGGCCTGAGAGACTATCTCCTTCCCCAGATTGGGGAAGTTTTCAGCAACTACCTCCTCAACGACACTTTCTATCCCTTTCTCTCTCTCTTCTTCTGGTTCCCTATAATGCAAATATTGTTCTGCTTGGATTGGTCACACAGTTCTCTCAATATTCTTTCATTCTTAGAGATCCTTTTTCTCTCTGTGCCTCAGCTTCTTTCTATTCCTCTTCTCTAGTTTCTATTTCATTTATTGTCTCCTCCACCATATCCAACCTGCTTTTAATGCCCTCCATTGTGCTCTTCAACAATTGGATCTCTGACCTGGATTCATTCCTGAGTTCTTGGATGTTTTTTTTCATACCTCCATTAGAATGTTGATGATTTTTATTTTGAACTCCCTTTCAGGAAGAGTCACGAGGTCCATATTATTTAAATCTTTCTCTGGAATTGTATTAATAATTTTACTCCTGACCAGGTTTCTTTGGTGTTTCATATTTGTATATGGCACCCTCTAGTGTCCAGAAGCTCTATTCTGGAGCTGCTGAGCCCCTGAAGTAATGTCGGGGGTCACCGGGGAGCTGTACTGGTGCCTGGGGGGAGAAAAGAGCTGTTCCCCTCCTCCCGGCTGCTGTGCCTGTCTCCACTGCCTGAGCCAGGTGGGCCGGTCACACAGGTATAAGTTTTTGTCCCAGAGCAGCCGGATATGGATCCCTGCTTTCCACAAGCAGCCGGAATCCCAGTGTCCCCAGGAACTCTGCCTGTATTAACTTTCCAACCCGGTAGTCATGAGAGTCTCATGAAAGCACCATGAAATGTAGGTTTGTGTTCCCAGTGCAGATCTCTGGAGCTGGATGTTCAGCAGTCCCAAGCCTTCCACTCCCTCCTTGCTCTGTTTCTCTTCCTTCTGCCAGTGAGCTGGGGTGGGGGAGGGGCTCGGGTCCTGCGGAGCCACAGCTCTGGTACATTACCCCGTTCACTGAGGTCTGCTGTTTTCTCCAGGTGTGTG